GTGTATACCTGTTCAACTATGGCCATACACAGATCTGGCTCCATAATCATAACATATATTGCGCATTCTACAGCACATCCCACTGTGCATTCCATGGATTGTTCATCGTCGTGTAGTCGACACCATGTTTGTAAGAACTAGTCAGCTCCTCCTGGTCCACTCCGCAGTGTGTCTGCCCATCTCTTCCAGTAAACCATCCTAGTCCATACGTCTTACCGTCATCAAGCTTCTTCGCCATCTCTGCGTTGTTTAGCTTCGACGTTCCCACAAAATTGTACAGCATCTTGCTCTGGTGGATAAAAGCCAGAATTGACGCAATAGTGTTGGGCTGACGCGGCAGGAAAGGATGGCGTCGGCGGAAGAACACCATGTTTGAGACAACAAACATGTAGATCAATATGAATAATGTGGCGCCGAGGGTGATATAGAATGAGCGTATCGTCTCCTGTCCAGAGTTGAGTAATTCACTGTTCTCCTTATCATCCTTCCACTTCCCTTTGTTCATTCCATATCCTGTGATAAAGCCTTGCCCATCCACCGTTGCAAGGCTGGTTACAAGGATTGTCAGGAATTCAGCCATGACACTACCGAACCCAACAAGAAACACCAGAAAGTGGCCGTTCAAGAGCGCTCGCAGCGGCATATAAGCAAATGGCAGTGCGGTGTAATCAAGGGTGAGAACTTTTGAGTGCGCATGTCGCTTTGAAAGGATATAGTAAGGCTCCATCATACGAACGGATGTCTCCATCGCGCCCCAGCATAGCTTGAGGATTACAGCCAACGCTGTGACGACCCAGGCAGCCTTGTCTGTGATGATCTGGGCGGGAGTGAAGAGAAACGTTGGGATCAATGCTACAAAGAGGATCAAGCCAATGATGAAAGGGATACATCCCATTGGACGCAGCATCAGGGGATGCGGGTGCTCCGAGAGATGGGTGCCGTCATCCTGTTCACTGTCCGTTTCCACCTTTGTGCTTGTGCCCTCGTAAGGTGCAAGAGAAGAATTTCTCAGCATGTATCGGCGACGCTTCAACTTTTGGTGAATGTCTTTATGCTTGGCTGTGTCCATATCTTTAAAGTCCATCAAGACATGGCTCACTACAGCCATGCTGGCAAGACCAGCAATGCCTCTGACATCAGAGAGGAGGCCTGATCGTCGAGTGTGTAAAACATATAGTAAACCGCACCCCATGGCTGCACACAACACCAAAGTAACCGTCAAAAGTCGCGACCAGACCGAGGCCACAAAGATCTCCTTCATGTCACCGGGTTTTTCCATACGCTCCTTGCGGCTCGGTGTGAGTATGATCGACGCAGCTGCACAGGTTGGTACGAGGGAAACGGCAAGTGTTGAGGCGAAAGAAGACAAAGCCACCGCATAGTGGCCAAGCTTGATTGCTCGAAAGGGTCGCCAGAAGCTGTAGCTTGTGACATAGTCGGCATTGATCGACTTGGAAGCCAGAGCACCCTGCTGTCTGGATAGCTGGTAGAAAGCCTCCAGGCGGCGGACTTCGAAGTCAGTAAACTGCCAGAACACGCCAAAAGTAACCGCAACCACTGTCGGTAAAAATTTGATTGCAAAATAGACAAAGGTGTCTATATCTTTAGGTGACCGGAATTTCACTATGGGCTTTTCGTGAAATCGTTGGAAAAGGTATTCCTGCGCAATAGCCAACCCGACCGATATTACAATCAGTAATGTGAGGTAGGGCCATCGCATTGTTGGAGGCTTCCAATTCGGTTGAGGATAGAATATTTCCGTCTTGCCCTCCTTAGTCGGGAATGTTGATCGGCGGAAATCATTAGACGCGACCGTGCTGAGTCCCTCAATGCTACTCAGGTCGGCGCCTGGTCCCTCCTCTAATATCACCTCAATGACTTCTCCTTTCCGATTAGCTTCGTCCTGTCCTCTTTGTCGGATCGTCTCAAATCGACCAAGATGCTCAGGCGGCTTCCGGCGCGAAAAGGACCGCGACAGACTCCTCTGAACAGATGGGGTCGACGACAGAAGTTCGGCATCACGCATCTTGACATCCGCATGAAACCCTTGGCCCAAACCTCCAGTCAACATCCCGCTAGCCTCTTGCGCCTGAAGCTTCTTCACGAAAACCTCATCGTGGGAGGTCATTGGCCCTAGCGCGGCGCTCAAGTCGAAGCCAGGAGACACGTCATCCTCATCCTCCTTTATGGGATCATAACGGCCAGAGTGGCTCATGGGCGCTGCACCACCAAGCAATGACAGGTCGTATGCTTCGTCTTCAGTGTTTTCCTCTGGAATGGTTCTTCCGAGGGATGAGCCGTATGCACGCTTGGCTCTAGATGGAAACCTTGAAGGAGGAGGCCCAGCTGCAGGCACAGGCGCATACGATCCCCCAGCTCCATTGTAGCCAAATGATGCGGACCATCCAGACCCAGCAACGTACGAATGTCCGTCATATTCTTGTTGCGGGGGGCTCGAGTTTCCTGCATAGGAGTCGAGAGACACCATAGATTCGCGGCCGTGGAGCTGAGGGTACGAATTGTCCTCGGAATATACTGTCATGGCAGAGACGCGATGGCTCAGATGTGGTTGGCTTGCTGCGGGCCTTTGTGATGCGGTTACAGAGCCAGTAGGATGGTATGGCTGGTAAGTTTGAAAGGGCTCTTCAGCCCGGTCATCTTGGTATGCCATATTGCGCAGCTCTTTTCATTATTGGGTATTGTTTGTGACTTTAGACAATGGCTCTAAACCCGGGATAGCAGTTCCAGCAGTACGCTACGGTATGGAATATGGATCGATCGCTCGCGGTATGGTGGGCGGGGCACGACGCGCAAAAAGAGGGGCGGTTGATCAGAGAACGAAGGAATTGACGATAGGCACTGATAGTTTGTCGCTTATCGAGGGGGGACGAGAGATAGATAAACGAGAACTGCACAAGGCAGAAGGGATGAGAAGAGAGGATATGATATGGAATGGACAAGCCTCCCCCTTGCTGAGCAACTTCAGCCGTTCAGCCATGAACGGTAATGAACGTCCTATTGACTTAGGTTCCATTAGTACCTAATCCATGGTTACCTACCAGCCTTAAGATGGGTCAAACTAGCACTGGCTAGGGACGCCTTAGGCTTCCCCGTCCGACCTCTGAGGGGCATGGTTGGGATCGGGCGGATCATTAACCTCTATAAGGCTGGGGCTGGACATGTTTTCTGGGTCTTCCCCCCACGAAAGAACCATGCGAGATCTCATATTCTGTCCAAGTGCCGTAATAACCCTCTTCGACCTCTGTCTCATGTGCTGTAACACAACGAGATAATTAGGCAGTGCTACTTCTCGAGTCGCTTATTGACCGTCACTCAAGCGCTTGAGAAGTGCCTATCTTTTATGAGCCATTGGAGGCAAAAGTAATCCTTCGTACCCAGGGGCTTTTCCTTTCTTCGATCTAACCTTGGATGCATGGCTGCACTCTCTCTCTTGGATTCGATTCGATCCAAGCCCCTGCAGTAATCATTTATCCGATGGACACTTACCATAGGCGGCCTCCGCCCTTGGCTCTCCCAAACAATCTTACTGACTTTATCGCACAAATACGGATACTGTATCCAAGACATCGAGGTGTCATTCAACTTCAGCTTCAAGCCTCAGAGGCGCAACTAGGTTGAGTCTAGCTAAACAGCCTTGTCATCAGCTACCGGATATTTCCACAATACCTGTGATCTTCTTGGCAAAGCTGAGAGAGGCCCTTTCTCTCCCCTCTTGAGCACTGAGGGCATCGGGGAGAAATTGCACAGCTGAGTTGCTTTGTCGTCGACGCTGTAATGCAACCCTACACAATGTATCTTTTTGTGAGTCCTCCCTCTCTCCCGCTGTTGTGGTACCTGTCTCGCTCACGGCATGTTACCTCTGTCGCATTCGTTAATGTACAAGCCAAGCTTGGCTTTTGGGTCCCTTCCCCTCCTGCCCGCGTGGTGAGTTGACCGATGCAAGCCACAAGAAGTGCATGCATGACCAGTTGTCTTGAATGGTAGGCTGTCGGCTGCTGTCTGCAGACCCTTGCTTTATCGACGACGCTTGTCTAGCTATGGTATAAATAGAACAGATCTGACCAATCATTGCATATTCCATGTAGGTCCCTTACTGCCAGTCTTTGCGCAATGGTATCTGTAACGGGCTTTAGCGTGGACACCTCTTCTACCTTATTTTAAGGCTCTCAACCTGAGCAGAGAACAACAACGGAACACTCTTCACTCGGCAGCATTCTTCCCTTGTTTTGAGGCAGTTCTAACATATCGCTCGTGATCATCGATTTATCAACTAATAATTGTACAACTAGTGCTCTTGTTCTTCCTCTTCTTCTTTTTATTTTTTAGCTGGACAACCCAAAAACGTGTTTCGCGGAAATCAAGATATCCACTATGTAGTGTTTATGCACATACCCTATATGCTCAAAACAGTTACACGCACAAAGTTAACGCTGTCATATACACGCGAGGTTTGCCGTGAACAGACTCGCATGATCTTGTGCACCCATTACAATGCGCTGCACCGGTGCGAGACCCATTGTCTGCCTGTTGATGTGCATTTTGAGCACATTTGAACGTAAAATCGAACCTGATATCCTAATGCCACACCGAATTTACACAGCATCTCACCAGACGAGCAGATAATTTATCCTTTGAAGGATGAGACTATCCTTCAAAAAAATTGCACCTGGAAAAAAGAGAGGGTCGATCTAAGCTGACGAAGATGTTCAAGCTGGCGTATACCGTTTCCAAAGTTTAACATGGCGAGCTACGCGGTAAACCAACTTGATCTAAAACAAGAATTTCTATTCAGAAAATGAGGTACTTGATTCACGCCTGAGAGCCCCATCCTCAATTACAAGTTTGTGGTGAGGACTGAACCTGCCTATATGTCCTTGATCCCAAAACCTCCAGTCTATGCAAAACAAAAAATCAATACGCTTCTATCGCTATGCGAACAGAACCAGTAACAAATGTGGTCATACATCCCATGCGCACATCTAGAACATGAGGTACGCTGACATCAATGCAGCCAGCAAAGCTGTCATAGACGCAGCTTGATATGTATGTGGAGCTAGGCTCGTGGTACCGCAACAACTGTCACGGTTGTATGTCACGTTATTCATCTGCGCAGCAACCTCAAAGACAGAGCCAGGGAAGCCACCGTAATTGTAATAGTCCACGTTGAGAATATTGGGAGCCCGGCCCCAGTCAGAGCGGCAGTTGTTGGCCGCAACACCCAGGCTGCCATAGCCCGTGACGTTATTAGTCTCGTTGAGTAGTGCCACAGCGGGAACCAGAATTTCGGCACCAAAAACGTTGAACTCGGCGTTGAGGTTGTGGTTCATGAGGTATAGGCGGTTCTTCGCTGATTTCTCGCTCAGGTCGGGAGGTCGCTGGACAGTGCAGGGAAAGGCGCGATCCAGGGGATCAAAAGGAGTCTCCCACATCTGTGTAAACTCATCGAGAAGCCAGGGATACTTCTTCTGGTCCGACACGTAGTCGATGAACATGATGACTCGCTTGCCACGAATGATGAGATCTTCCAGAGTGGGCCAGTCTTCAAGAGCCATTGGGAGGTAAGGCGCTTGGTAGACATACTTCAAAATGCCGGTCTCTCTGATGTACGGTACGTAAAGATCAGGATGGGAGTAGTTTCCATTTCCAAGAAGAATAGTGACAACATCGTATGGGTGGTCGTCAACCCACTTTCGTACTCTGGTTAGCCAGTCGGTGATGGGACCCGCGTCAAGAAGATCACAGGTCGAATGGCAAAAGTGTGGCACTGATGAGTTGCTAGGGAACTGGATCTGGGCCTGAAGGAAGCGAATGCCATCATTAAGTTGTGTCTCAACCTCAAGCTCCTGGTTAGAGCCAGAATTACCCGGTCTTACGAAGGGTGAGTTGTGGCAGCCAACCATCGTGATATTGCCGTACTTGCGCTTGCAAAGCTCGACATAATTGTTACAGGGCTGTGTGTTTGTAGGCTTTGCTTTCGTCGTGGTAGTCGAGGTACCATTTGCTGTGGCGGTTCCTGTGCCAGTCTCTGTCAGGTTGCTGGTAATGGTAGTGCTATCTGTGACATCTGTGGGGAAAAGGCCTGTGAGGGTGCTCGTGAGTTGGTCCGATTCGGTGTCGCTGGAGCCCTGCAGTGTGATCTTAGAGGCGTAGGAAGAATATGCGCCTGTGGGAGGACCGGTTTGTCGTGTAATTTTCTGTGTTCGTGTACCTCCAATGAAAGTGAGGTCCGAAGACGCTGATAAATCGACTGTCTGACCTGCTACTTGACTGGAAGTCAAAGCCAGAGCCGCAAGTACTGAGCCCCAGAGCTTCATGACGGAAAACTGATACTGAAAGAATTTGTGACAGGAGAGAATATCTCTGGTAAGGCGCAGGATAAGTTGGAAGGGCGATAGGAGGGAGCTCGCTAGTCGCAACAAGCTTTACAACTGGAGCTCAAGGTCCACCTATTACAGCCAGGCCCGCGTCGATTTAAGGTGGTACAAGATCAAGGGAGCTTCTGTAGGCAAAGCAGGCCGAAGAAAAAGAAGAAACAAAACCGAGTTGTGCTCTTGATGAGGTAGTGGAACAAGATCCAGCCTAGTGCGATCTGCGACGACTCGCGCAGTCCTGTCCTTGATCCCTGCTCGAGAAACACCAGACCGACCAGTATCAAGAGAGTCCACTTTTGCGAACAACGACAGATCGGCGAGAGGAGGTGGGTATGATACGTATTGTAGGAAGAGAAACCTCAAGGACCAAGTCACTGTAGAGACCAGTGGGAGGATGTGATACGTGCGGCGATTGGAAAACCTTCTTTTGTGCACTGCCTTGCTTGGCTTTTCAGTCAAGAGTACCTATCCCAATCTTAGACGAGATTACGAATGAGAAGCGATGGAAATGAAGGACCCAAGGAAAAAGGAGAGCGACTGAGTGATAGTTGCTTTGCCGCGGCTTGGCAAGAGAGCAGAAATAAAAATAAAAATAAAAATACCGAACAAACTGGCCAAGGTTAGTAGTAGGTTGGTTGTTAGTGCTTTGATTGATGATGCGGCCTCACCCGCTGTGACATAATGACATGTGTCTATGAATAAACACTTAGTCCTCACCCTCTCAGCGGTAATAACGGCAGGAATTGACAGTGTCAATTGGCCAATGTTGAGCCGCAAAAATAAACGCACAAGTCATGTAAAGTTTCTGACTGTTTCCGTAGCGCTAAGAGAGTGTCAAATACCCGAAAATCCGAGCGTACTCGTTACCACAGCGCTTGTTGTTCACGTAAATTTTGCTGGATGGTGTTGAAACGCGTCATCATATTGGGCCGCAGCTAAGACCCAGCCGGTAACGCGGCACATCACTTCCTTTTCTTCACCTGAGGCTCGGTAGTTTGGGGCTAGGGTAGAAATGGATTGGATTGGATACCAGAAGACAAAAGCGAAAGCCAAGCACCAATAACCTATGATAGTGGCATGGCAAGTCGTAAAACCAAGAACTCTTCTCAGGCGCCTATTCGAACAGATTCCATTCGGCTTGACTTGCTACTTGATATGCACTATACTTACTTTCACCAATTGTATGTATCATAATACGGGCGGCTGTCCAGGTTCTTCATCCAGCTTCAATAGACAAGTAGAGATCTATTCGCTCAGCTTTCCTAGGTTCTGATGTGCCCCCTTACCCACGGACCCCCCAGGTAGGTGTGTACAGTACGGAGTATAAGCCTTCCCTTTGCCGCTGCATTGTCGCTCCCTAGGCTCCCCAGGGGTGCTGTATTGCAGGGGCATTCCACCAAAAGCACATAAGCTCTCCACTGATGGAGGTCGTCTATCCCTTTTTAGGTCAAGGTTTCGGAAGGGCCCACGACCCTTTTGGCGCCTCTTCGATCATGGATTGCATGGGTCCATGCCGTCTGGCAAGATCCTTGGAATTGGGATTTTCCCTTCATCATGACGATTGCTCCACTGTCTCTGTGAAAGCTGTCGCTCCTTGCTCGCTCCTCCAAGAACCTTGCAGCTGGCGTTGACCATTTGGCTGGCCCACTTCGCAACGCATTTCTCTACTGCATACTCCGTAATTACAACTTCTTCGTTATCCTGTCGCTACCTTTCTTTTGTTCTCCGGATTACGAAGTCTTTCGTAACCCCATTTGTTTCTTATGTTCTGTTTGTGGACTGTGTTGACATTCAACCGCACACCACTCCGCGATTATCCTTTCCTTTCATCTCTCTTGATCTGTTCGTTATTTGTTTCATCGCTGGTATCCTGCAGCACATCACGCAACTAGAAGGCATCACCATCAAACGAAAGAGTCTTTGGATAGCTCACTCCGATACCGCACTGCCTACCTACCTACCTAGGTACCTTGCCATGGCGAACGTGCATAGGCGAAACACAGCCTTTGCTGCCAGCACGCTATACTTTCTATCAATACCCTTCTTGATTCTCGTTATAATCGGTAATACCCATATCAATTCGACACTAAACGACATATACTTCTTTAAGCTTGATGTTTCTCAAGTTATACCGATCTCGGTCGATAATTCGAGACTGCTTAATTCTGTTGCTCGGAGTTTAGGTCTGCATGATTTCTACCAGGTTGGACTATGGAACTTTTGCGAAGGGTACAACGATGAGTATGTTTCCAAGTATCGCGTGTAGCATATGATAGCTAACAACACAACTCAGGGGCGTTACCTACTGCTCTAACCCCAAACAATGGTACTGGTTCAACCCTGTCGAGATTCTTGTGAGCGAACTGCTCGCCGGAGCTCGGATTGCACTCCCTGCCGAGGCCGTCACTGTCCTCAACTTGCTCAAGATAGGCTCTAGAATCATGTATGGATGTTTCATGGCCGGCATATGCATCGACTTTGTCCTGATTCCGCTGAGCCTCCTCGTTATTCGCACCCGTTGGTGGAGTCTGGTTATAACGGTTCTTGCTTTCTTCACATCGGTTCTTATTTCGCTCGCAGCTATCATTGCAACTGTCATAAGTATTGCTGCTAAGGTCGCACTCACGGCGCAGGATCAACTCAACATCAAGGCAAACATTGGCATCAAGATGTTTGTCTTCATGTGGCTGGCTGCTATTTTCACCGATGTGGCATTCCTGCTACATGCTGCCATGAGTTGCTGCTGTAGACCTAATAGGGATAAGCCGCAGAGTTCCCAACCAGAGATGAGGGCAGCGCACCCAAGCCTTCGTCATCGAAGAGGGCATAGGTCATCATCACATTCGTCATAGGAAGTTATGCGGATCTAGCTTCAAATTTGAGGCCCTGCTGATGAACAAATTTGGTATGGAGAGAACACCTTTGGCCCAGAATTCCAAGATGGTCCAGAAGCTAGACCTCTTGAAGTTCTGGGACCCAGGCATGAAATCAAAAGCCTGCGCGATAACCAGGATTGCGCGCCTATTTAGACTGTTTGGCTCATTGCTTTACACAGAGCAGGGAATAATTGCCTAAAGCATGCTCAATTCAGGTATTTGTCGCCTTGAGCACAAGGGATGTATAGTACATAGGATTTCACGGTATAGACGGGCGAGCGAGGCCAGGGAACAGGCCATTCAAAATGACTGTGTTGGGCTGTTTCCCATGCAGATGACATTCTTCCACGGCGCTAAGGGTCAAATAATAGAATATATACTACGAAGAAAACATAGCGTTGTAATAGTCGTTTCTGGACCCAACTGATCCTTTTATCATGTGAGGATTACTTGTTGGTCTCATTGGAGTGCCTCATAGAACTGTTGACACTACTTTGAGCTCGAGGCACTCAACTTCTAGTTAATGAGGATTCTATTGCAGCACAAATATTGACAAACGAATGGTCATATTTCCCGCACCTGATTATGAAATGATGATACGATCATTGGAAGAACAGGTCTTTACTTGTTTTGCGTTCTGCTAGCACACTTACTCATCCAAGAAACATCAATGGCTTCACACAAGACCAGAAGAAAGTCTACAGTGACTGTCACACCGTTGGCCAATATCTCAGTCAAGATGGCCGTTTCCTTGCCATACGCAGTCTAAACAGAACTATATGACATGTCCAAAGCTCGAGCTCATCGATATCCTTGAAAGGAGCGTCGATAGCATACTTCTTGCTTTTGAAGAGAAATTCACAACTGTAAGATGAAACTTGTATCTTTCGTAGAGAGGAAACTGGGGCCATAGGCAACTATCGGAGAAGCGCTCTCGAGGCACTGCGCACAGAATGAGAACTGAAGACGTCGAGAGAACCAGTGCAAGAAGGGTCAATGAAAGGAAATGGGATGGATGCACGACCTGAGCCTATAATTCTGTACAAGACTTGTAGGCGATGACAAATTGAAACTTCAAGACAGCCAAGAGCTTATCATGCGCAAGATGATACATTGCAATCACTACTGTTACCCCAGTGAAGGTAATATGGCGACAATATACATAAGAATATGAAAGAAACGACATTCGAGGCCAATGGGAGAATTGGCACACCAGAAGCGGTATCATAGAGAAGACATGATTGTTACTTGTCCTACACTCTATGATGGGTTCCAGGATACGGAGAAAGAAGCATGAATAATAGTGACAAATGGTGAATTGAGCTCAAGATACGTCCTTCAAAGTTGAAAATTTGAACCAAAGGAGGAAGAGATAACCAGGGGCAGAAGACGGAATCTGGGGGTAGGAAACCCCCATCAACTGGTGTTTAACCACGGCCAGTCATCATTTGATTGACTATCTAATGAATACAAAGTGATACGCCGCGCCTTCATCTACCATAACCCTTGCGAGCAGCATTGTCGCCAACTATCAATGAATATGTCGCGTCCAGTGATAAGACAGTGAACTATGTATGGCTAGTTTCAGAATAATAAGCTCATACTACTGACCATAGGGTATGGCTGTGTGGACACGCCTGTTTCTGAGCGATCGACTTAGGCAGTTGGTGTGATGCCTGTCATAAGGTCCTCATCTTCTATTAGAGAATCGAAGCCCACTCCAGGATCTGCGGGGTCTTTATCTGCCCGCTTCTGTTCCCTAACAGCGTGTTTCACGTACTCCTTGCTATTACCCAACCGTTCGTTGGCTGCCTTGTACTGGTTTCCAAGACTTTCAATATTATGGTAACGCTGGGCAATCTGCTGGGCAAACTTTGCCTCTGTCATCGCCTCATTGTCGTCGTGGAAGTGCAGATAGAGTTCACCGCCATTGTTGCCCGGCTGTAGCTCGCCTTTTAACAGACCGGAATTAATCATATCTTGAACTAAGCGTGTGGTGGCATCGTCGTCTGCGAGGAATTCGCCGGTCTCGGCACTGAGTGTCGAGAGACGCACTTGAGAAATGGA